TAAGTAGAGTGATGTAGACTCTAAGTGTTTTCTAAGTAAATGCTTCGTTTTTGTCAATGCTAAATTCGACTTTTTATGACTTGTCATTGCATTTCATGGCTGTACAATGTAGGTCACTATAGGGAATAATAAGCATTGTCCGCGTATGAAAATCTTCCTAGAGTTTGTTTGAAGCCCCATAATCCCCCCAGCATATGGGCCTGCATCGCCGAGCACATTAGGTCAAGGGATGATTGTGTTCCACCATGAAGTCGACACAATGCACTTCAGCGTCCATGACGCTGTTAAGTGTTATCTTTAGCCGACGTAAAATACCCGGCAACGGACTTTGTGGACTCAACAGCCGTCTGGTAAGACTTGTGTTTTGCAGTGTTAATATGCTTAGCCACGTCGTTCTTGCCTGCATGCCTGACGCTGAAGTCGCACTTGCAAAGAACACAGAATGCATGGAAACCATCAAGCTTAGATCGCACGATTACAGGCCACTCAGTTGTGTACTCCGAAAGTTTCCTTTTTTTTCAGAGGAGTCTCCATTATTCCAGCTTTCCCGGGCTAAGCTTCGATGGCGAATTGATGCAGCAAGCTCCGTTGTAGTACAATGTATACTGTAGTGCACGCACTTGCACAGCTAGCTACATACAGTACGTCGTACCTGTAAAGCAGTGCGGCAACTTCGTTCCCCATACGTACACTCACTATTCTGTATTGCAATAAAAATCACTGGGTACAATCACGCCCCGCATGCGTAAAACTAGACTTGGTTTTAAGTCTGTGATCGTGGGTTTTTCTCCATAACCATATCATAAATAGCGCCCTCTTTTGGCTTATGGAGCAAATATTGAATGATAGCACAGTGGTACTGTATAAAGTTAACTTTTGCAAAATATTGCGCGAAGCAACCGCGATCTCAGACTTGAAATCAAGTCTAGAGTGAGGCTGGTTTCTGGCAATCGAGTCTAACGCGGATGTGTACATACATTTATACATGTACATGTACATATATGCGAATTCGCCGCCCGTGGCGACTATTTGTCAACCACTGGTCGATTTTGCCTGGTACCCAATATGTATTTCGCGCATAGGTTACCATGGAAAATCGACTAGTGGTTGTCAAATAGTCAGTCGCAGCTCGCGGCTCGCCGCTCGAACCTGGTGGTAAGAAACCTCTAAACGATCGCAATGCTTTTGCTACGCCCAAATCGTGTATGTTGGCATCTCTGTAAAACTGATTTCAGCAACTTCGCCACACTCATCAACTGATTATTCATTTTAAACATTTTTCAACCTGCCTTTAGAGGGTGCTGTAACATTTTATGATGTCTGGTTAACAACTTAGCCAGAGCATACATCGTTGAAAAGAAGTTCACAGCTTTTGTCACATGACCCATGATGACATCACTTCATTTTTCATCTATAACATCCCAGTCTAGGTGCTAACCTCTTTGAAGCCAATCGGACCTGTAGTTCTAGAGATATACCTGTAGGCCTTCAAAATATGCATAAATGTGATGTCACGTGACTCGTGATGACATCATTATGACGTAAATGTTTGGCACACATCTTCAGATGCTGGTCTAAGTGTGTGCCGTGTATACAGGCAATTGGATTGATTTTAGTGCCCAAGTGCCTTCTACGATGAAAACGTGTTCAAATGCTATGGACAGGAGTCTCAAAAAAAAATCTTAAGGAACAAAAAAGCCGGTATCGGCTGATTGCCGAAACAGCCAACCACTACTGATATATAGTTTGGCTCTTGTGCACCTGCACACAAGACTGCAATTTGCTCTATATGTAGACATCGGAGAAAGTGATCATTTCCGAAGAAAAAAAAAAAAATTCAAAATGACATTCAGGGAATTCTTTGTGAAATTTGATGTCATTGAAGTGCTACAGGTCCGATGGGGTTGAAAGTTGGTACATGTATGTACCGAGACCAGGATGTGTTGTAGATGAAATTGAAGCAACGTCACGATGATGTCATCTTGGGTCACGTGACATCACATTAATTATTAAAAGATTTAATCTTTGAAAATCAAAATAAAATCAACCATGAGAAACCTGAACTTGACGTTTGCAGTGGATAGAATTTATCCATGGTCTTCATTTTTATTATTACATGCAAAATCACATGACCCCTTCGGTTGGCTGGTTCGAATCTGCCAACCGATCCCGTTAGCTCGGTGGTCGAGTGGTAAGACATCTGCACTAGAAAGCAGGAGTTCGTGGGTTCGAGTCCCACCCGAGTGATTTTTTTCCATCTTTCACTTGGGAGGTACATGTAACACACTGAGTATACAGTGTTTAAACGTCGGTGAAGGGCAAAACCTAATTTAAGAACAACACATCCTTCCTGGATGAAACTAAATACTTGAAACTTTACATGTCACATGTCACACAAAAAGATGCCGAAACAGTCCTGTGTTTGTCCACCAACAAATCTAGCTAACATTAAAACAAGTCAGGTGTGTTTACAAACACAAATGCCCCGCAACGGTGACAGTTCCCATGACATAACACCACTCTTTTAACATCAACTTACATGTACCTTGGTCACATGGAACATTCATTGACAGCATTAGTGTCTTCTGTAGGTTTTATATGAATTAATCCCTAATCCCTATAATCTCAGAATAAATAAATGATTTCTATTGTTTTAGCCACTGTGAACTTGACCCTTGACCTTTTGGCCCCAAATTCAATAGGCTTCTTAGGATTACCAAGAACAATCCACAAACCAAATTTGAAGTTCATATGTTAAGTATTTCTCAAGTTATCGCGCTGACAAGATTTCTATTGTTTTAGCCACTGTGAACTTGACCCTTGACCTTTTGGCCCCAAATGCAATAGGCTTCTTAGGATTGCCAAGAACAATCCACAAACCAAATTTGAAGTTCACATGTAAAGTATTTCTCAAGTTATCGCGCTGACAAGATTTCTATTGTTTTAGCCACTGTGAACTTGACCTTAGGCCTTTTGGCCCCAAATGCAAAAGGCTTCTTAGGATTGCCAAAAACAATCCACAAACCAAATTTGAAGTTCACATGTAAAGTATTTCTCAAGTTATCGCGCTGACAAGATTTCTATTGTTTTAGCCACTGTGAACTTGACCTTTGGCCTTTTGGCCCCAAATGCAAAAGGCTTCTTAGGATTACCAAGAACAATCCACAAACCAAATTTGAAGTTCATATGTTAATTATTTCTCAAGTTATGGCGCTGACAAGATTTCTATTGTTTTAGCCACTGTGAACTTGACCTTTGGCCTTTTGGCCCCAAATGCAAAAGGCTTCTTAGGATTACCAAGAACAATCCACAAACCAAATTTGAAGTTCATATGTTAAGTATTTCTCCAGTTATCGCGCTGACAAGATTTCTATTGTTTTAGCCACTGTGAACTTGACCTTTGGCCTTTTGGCCCCAAATGCAAAAGGCTTCTAAGGATTACCAAGAACAATCCACAAACCAAATTTGAAGTTCATATGTTAAGTATTTCTCAAGTTATCGCGCTGACAAGATTTGTCCGGACACACACACACACCCACCCACCCACACACCCACCCACACACCCACCCACACCACCCACACACCCACCCACGGAAGGACAAGGCGGAAACAGTATGCCCCTTCGGCTTCGCCGCGGGGCATAAAAAATGGTACATTTGTTTTAGACACCAAGAATGAGGCCATGTTCTCATGCAATGGGCACCAGCAAAGTGTCATCCTCCATATTAAGATCATCAATATCAAGCAAGTTTGGGGAGAATTTATTACCTCATTGACGAATAGCTCAGCATCAACAGTAATGCCAGATCTTGATCTACTTAATTTTGGGGCAATCAGGAATCTTTGGTAACATGATTTTGCAGAAGAAATGACATTGTTGGCCTGGGCCCATATTCATGAAACCTTACTAAATTAGCAGCCAACTAGGCCTTAGTAGGATACTAAAATGCCTAGTGGTCTACTGTGTAGTTGACAACTAAATTGTTGTTCATGAAACCTTAGAAGAACCTTGCTAAATTACTAGTTACATACTAGGACTGTTAAGTTGCATATGGGAGTAACTGGAATTGGGTGCTTGTGGGTGGAGTGGGCATGTGTGGAATGTGATGACAACAGATACAATAGTGTGACAAGTGTATTAGGCTTATCCATGTCCAGCCCTTGCGTGGATTAGCCAAAAAAAGAAGGAATAAAGTGACCAAGGCCTATATGTGGTAGAGTGTACTGCAAGTAAGTAAATCAACATCAAATTCTCTAGCAATTGCATATAAAGCAAAAGGGCAAGGAAGGCAAATTATTCTCAAGAAGAGAACCCTTTATGACAGGCAAGTATGAGGAATTAAAGATATTGAAAAAAGATATTATTGATGCTAAGCATAAGGATGCAAACACCAACAAGAAAAAGAAAGATGCATGGGCAGCTATTCTCAGCCAGCACCTTGCAAGATTTCCACAGGTTGAAAGATCATTGGATGATTTCAAATTAGATTATCCACATTAAACTCCGAGTCAAGAGAATGCCTGTCAAGTATGAGCAAGTCCAAGAAGGCAACCGGAGGGGGAGAGCCACAAACAATGATATAGTTGCTAACTAGTGACTTAGAGTTGCCCTGAATCTACACTAATTTTAGTAAGAAACTTAGAATGTAACTAGCGTTAGCAATGATTCATGAATACCAAATATTTTCCAACTAGGCTTAGTAAGCAACTACATGCCTAATTAGTAACCAACTAGGCTTAGTAAGGTTTCATGAATATGGCCCCTGGACTGCAACATTTGTATGATCTGTTTTGTTTTACACTCTAGGAATTAAGTTCATGGCCAGTGACAATAGATTTACAATGTCTGGTATGTACATGTACGGTATTATGAAAGCTGCTGTGTGTTTAGCTGTGTGTGTGTTACTAAAGCTTGCTGACTGTACTCCAAAATAATCTTAAATCAGAATGATTACCTATAACAAAAGAGGAAGAATAGTAAATGTAACATGCAGGCTTACCTTAATACATTAATACATCCATGTCCATTTGTCAGGAAAAACAGGTCATTCTCATTGTTCCATGAAATTTCATTGACTTCAAACTTGAACTGTTCTTCTGTCTTGACACGATGTGACCTGGCATCCACAAAGGTCACAAGATCTTCTTTGTTTCCAACAGCAATTGTTTGCCCATCCGGACTCCAGCAAATATTTATGTTTTCACCTACATTTTTTTTTTTCAGAATTGAAAATAAATATTTAATGAATATTACAAGGTGAACATAAATACTAAATAATAATAAAAACACTCATGTTTAGTGATACATAAAATCCAGGATCCACAAGATTGATGTTTGTGTGGTCCCTGTTACACGTGACCTGTCTAATTTCCCATACTTTGCTTCAGGTGATCACTCTTGGAGATCATGGAGATAGAAGGCATTAACCCTAACTCTGAATTCTCAAACTCTAATCAGGGGTGAGATCGGGGCAAATGAAAAATCCACAGAAATTAAGTGGATGGTTTGGGGGTCACTGAGGACCCAAGGGCAAAGAAGTGTAGACGGTACATGTATATGTTCCACATGAACGTTTAAGATACGTAAGTTATGGTAAAACTTAAGGAATTCGGGATTTCCAAAGGACTCTAAGATAAAAATCCTGAAATGTCCTGACAACAAATCCTGAAATCAGGAAAAGTCCTGACAACAAATCCTGAAATCAAGAGGTCCTCACAAAAATTCCTGATATCAGGGAAAAATCCTGACAAAAAATCCTGAAATCAGGGTAAATCCTGACAAAACACTCCTGAAATCAGGAAATGTCCTGACAAAAATCCTGAAATCAGGGAAAAATCCATGACAAAAATCCTTACATCAATGAAAGATGGGAAAATCCTGATAAAAAATCCTGAAATCAGGGAAAGTCCTTACAAAAAAATCCTGAAATCAGGGAAAAATCCTGACAAAAATTCTGAAATCAGGGAAAAATCCTGACAACAAATCCTGAAATCAGAAAAAGTCCTGACAACAAATCCTGAAATCAGGGGACAAATCCTGAAATCAGGGGACAAATCCTGACAAAAAAATCCTGAAATCAGGAAAAATCCTGACAAATCTCACACCTGAATAATTTATCATACACCCTGGAGGTTACACGTAGGTTAAAAAATGTGTTCTGAATACATGTAAATCTTTGTAAAATAAACCGAAACAGGAAACAAAGTTGGACCCCAAATTTATGGAATGACCCATCTCTACTTGAAATTTAAATGTATCTAGATATTGGCTAGAGATGTACATTGGAACCAGTTACCCAAGTACCCGACCATTGATGTCAGGAATCGGTTCCAGATATGGGATATTTTTTATGTTTGTCAACCTACTCGTGAACGTTTTGTCATTAGTTGACCATTTTAGTTTTCATTATCAATATTATTTTATTAACCCTAACCGCACCTAACGCTACAAAATACTACTAGTAGTAAACTGTAGTATGCAGTACTTTAGCATATAAGTGAGCACAGCACTCATAGGATTTTCTAGTATTTGGGTACCTGCATACATGTACATAATTTTTGTAGTACTTTGTAGTATGTGGTACTGTACTCCAAATGAACTCTTAGGGGGTTATGGTTAAGTGTGAGTGAAAAATGGGGAAAGAATGTTGCAACCTAATGCCACTTTTTTTTTATCGTATGATACATGTATGTATTATCTCAATGAAGGTCAGTCATTGCAAAAATATTGAAACAACATGAATCTGGGACTGAAAAACATTTTTAATTTTGTCAGAAAATACAATGTACTTTGAAAATGCACTAACTATCCACAGACTTAGTAATGTTACACAACCAAAAAAGTGGCATCTGGATACTACATTCTTTCCAAAAAATGGCCACAAAAAGTGATAAAAATAAAATTCTTCAAAATTTAATGGAGAAGTTAGGGGTAGGTGGTGAACGGCACAATGTACAACGTACCCTGGCCATGACGGGATTGACAGGGATGGTGATGATAAGAAATATACACCGGGAATTGCTTCCTATGCCACAGGCTGATGGTGTGCCGGGCCGGTAGGCATGCCAGGTCGGCGAAGCTGGCCCAAAAAGGCGAATTACGACCAAATTTTCCCGGCGCATCATTTGAGAGAGCAACACACCGCATGCTGTCTGCCTTGAGTGCTCAAATCTTATTTTGTCAGGAACACGTCCTTTTTCACTACCAAACTTATCAACTTCTTCGAGAAAGAAGTCACCGCAAAAATCTGAAGCGTAACGATTGCGTATCATCTAACTCTTCAAGCCTATTGGGAATTTTTTTCAAAGCGTATCGGCCCAATATCATATTGTATGCCTGGCTAGAACCCTGTGGTGCCTGTTACTATTAGCGCTATTGTTTGAATGTCTGGCTGTGGATCTGGTATGCAAATTGTCCATCTAAGAATATTTGTTTCTCAACTGCCAATCACAACATAGATCAAATGTTGCTGATTTGGTAACGGCACATGCGAGACGCAACCCACGCATGTTTTTAAAAAATCAATGGCCAATCAGATCCCTTTCGATTTATCATTATCATTTTCATAGCCGCAGAACCTGAAGTTGCTACTGTGACTTCCACATGGGACAGTGGGTGTGCATGTACAGTAGAGTGTACGGGTTACGCCTCTATTTTCCGACACCCCTATGTTCTGACACCCCCATGTTCCGACTGCACATATTCCTATTCCCAACCCTAACCCTAATCGGGAGTACACAATCTTATGTGCTGGTTGTCGGAATATAGGGGTGTTGGAACATAGAGCAGTCACCGAGACGTACAGTATGCACTGCAGGCTTTGTACGACGGATCAGGGTTTCACCGTGGTAATGGACATGAAGCTGACACAGCGAATACACGTACATACAGCTTTTGTAATTACCTTTTGTGTTGACTGTTGCTACTGTCTTGTTGGCTCTTGCATCCCATATTCTGATAGTCTTATCACCAGATGCTGTAACAAAAAGCTCTGGATGAAATGGATGCCAACACAGTTGATCTACGCTGTCTGTGTGACCACGATATGTAGCTTCTCTTGACTGTGGGAAAATAGAAATCTGTAATCACTTACAAATAAACTACTGATAAATAATAACAACAATTCATAAAGGGCGAGTCAAAACAAATGGAAACCCAAATAGCGCCTCCTATTTTTTAAAAGAAGTTCTGCATGTCGGCAATTTTAGCTTTTTAAAAGGCAGTGTAATGTCAGTAACAGAGCCAATTAAACCATGATATCTAACTAATGATTTAAAGAAATGATCAGAAACTCCTAGTATGTGATCTGCTTGACCATTACTAGCTAAGGCCAAAAAAAAAACTTCTGCTTCCGATTACATGCCTTTCAAAAATAGGGTCGGTCGGAAAAAAAATTTGGCAAAATTTTTTTATGCTAATTGAATGGGGTATATATGCACAGTTTTAGCCTGAACTATTTCCATTGCACTATGAAAGCTATACAAAAAAAATTCCACAAAAAGTGAATAAAAGCTACCTTAATTATTGTCAAAATATTTACGTTCGATAATTCTTACAAAATAATGGAAAATTCAGGTCGTGCAAACCATAATGCACAACGCTATTCAAGACGGGAAACAAGCCAGAATTCCGTAATGCGTGAATGCATTGTGTGGCCAGCGGGCAACAGACCTCGTTTTTACGGTGGACAATTTTTGGGGAACAAGCTGCATTGTATCACTCCAAATACGAGTAGTGCCATCTCAAAATGAACTCTTGAACACAAAAATTGCAAACACAGACAAAAGAGATCCATTTGTGTTTTCTTGACATTTTTACGATGTCGAATCTGACTGACCAGTTGACAGTGCGCATGGCCATGCACAGACTGGTTACCGCATTTTCATCGTGCCTTCTCAATTGGCCCCTGCGCGGCATGGCAGGAACCAGTCATCGCTGCATTGAGCTAGCATTACTCACATGTTTATCGTCACCGCGACATCGAATTGCACAGTAGTTATCGCGAAGTTCAATTTTGGTGCGTTGTCGTGGAAAGCATTCTCGTTGTCTTGCTTTCCGCGACAACGCACCAGACGAAAACTGAACCCACTTGCGGCGTCTGAAAGCGGTGTGGTACCCACACACACCGCGCGTCCAGATTTTTTTCGATGTCATCACGTGATGCATGCATTTACATAATTGACAGAACAAAATGGACGACAGCCATTGGAACCGGCCTTTTTTTTTCGTACAAGCCACCGAAATCGTCAAGATTTTTCACATTTGTTTTTTTGTGGTCTGTTTCAAGTTGATCATTAGCTTTGTGAATGACTGCTGAATGTATGAGGTATGTAAATGAAATCTGGGGTGGGATATTAGAGGAGAAAATGGACAATTTTTGAGAGAGGCCATTATTTTAGGGGCGATCGTGAAGTGTGGGGCCTCTGTATTGTTTTGATCAATTCGAGTCAAAAATATTTTGCTTGCTCAAAAGTCACCTTTACAATCAAAAGCAGGCTTTTCTCACTCCTAAATGACACCCGTTTTGCAATTCTGAACAGATTCTTGGGGTAGAAATCACGATTTTCCTGCGCGGTTTGTGCCTTGCGATTTAGTGAGCCGTGCGTGCTCACGTTACATCGCGCGATGATCGTCATCGGGTCGCGTGTTGTCGCCGCGCTGTCATCGTCATTTTACCCCCAAATTTCCCTCAAAAATCAAATCCTGCCCTCTATCTATGACATACATGTACCTGTTTATTGAGAATGTCACCAACTACTTTGGTAGGTCCAATAATTTTAAAGTGGATTTTGTTCCCTTATAGAAACCAGTCCCTACACTACACGATCGCCATTTTAGGGTCTCTTGCTACCACACTCTAACGAATAGGTTATGTCTCCACCGCTACATGTGAATGAATATGAGTATTTCTGAAATCAAAAGGCTTCCTCCGTCTGCCTTCTGAGAGCCGTACAATTCGGGGGTCAGCACTCTACGGCTTTTGGAAATGCCCTTTGATAGACGAAATACCTTTGTCTGAAATTCCACTTTTTGAAACACAAATCCACCCAAAAATTGAGCTTGTTGATCCATAACTCTGAAATATTTTCACGCATTTGACATTTGGATCATGGGACAATTTTTTGGGTGGAAAATCTGAGTTTTTACTCACCAGCCTCGCGTCTCCGATCTGACGAATGCAAGGTTATGTTCATGTGTGTGTTTACGTCCGTTGCGCGTGTGCTGATCTGCGCGTGACCTCAGCAGGTTAACTCTACATTCGGCTCGACCATTTGGGATGGAGGGGAGATTGTATGCTTTGCATCGCGAAACAGTATACAAATATTGAGTGGCTCAGCGTGGAATGGGAGGAATATTATCGCAAGGTAAAAATCTGGAGTTTTCCATTTCACGAGGCGAAGCCGAGTGATTTGGAAAAGTCCAGATTTTATCGAGCGATAATATTCCTCCCATTTCACAATTAAAAGCCACTCAATATTTGTTTTATATAACTGACATATATCCTTGTCATTTGATATATTTGAACTTTTTTTCAATACAAAACTGGAGGAAAATGTATTTCTCTCTTCCAAAACCACCCCTTCACGAAAACGTTTGAACCCAACGCTGTAGCGCTGGCTCTTTGGAACAATACACACTACTCGCAACGCTGAACGCGCACACCAGCATGCATTTGCACACAAATACCGCGTCATGATCCTAACTGTTGAATAGTATTTCCCATTCCCTATGGGCGGATAGTACTTTTTGAGCCGCGGCATGAATGGGAGCAATAACGAATGCCACGTGATGTGAGTTCCACCAATCAAATGACAAGAATCTATATGTCGTTTATATAATACATCATGATGCGCGGGCGGCGTCAGACGGGCCAATCACGAGACCACGTGATAAATGCTGCGGATAATTTGGTATCGCACTGACGCTCCGGGCACTCCTCATGTCCAGATCGTAAGTGCGATTCCAAATTATCTGCAGAATTTAACACGTCATGCACGTGGCCTCGTGATTGGCCCGTCTGACCACGCCCGCGCATCATGATGTACTGTTTCGCGATGCAAAGCATACAATCTCCCCTCCATCCCAAATGGTCGAGCCGAATGTAGAGTTGACCTGCTGAGGTCACGCGAAGATCAGCACACGCGCAAAGTACGTAAACCACAAATGAACATAACCTTACATTCGTCAGATCGGAGACGCGAGGCTGGTGGGTAAAAACTCAGATTTTCCACCCTTGGTGGATTTGTGTTTCAAAAAGTGGAATTTAAGACAAAGGTATTTCGTCTATCAAAGGGCATTTCCAAAAGCCATAGAGTCAGTGAGAGTGCTGACCCCCGAATTCTAAGACTAAGGCCCTCACTCTCAGAAGGCAGACGGAGGAAGCCTTCTAATTTCAGAAGTAGAATATGAGCATGTCAGCTGGAGTTACTCAAGCTAGTTTTGTACATGTTCCAAGTGTGGTCTTTATTTACAGAGGTAGTCGCATTAAATTGGCCACATTTATGGGGCTAGGGAACGCTCCGCCGATTTGTGCCCAATTTCCGGACGCCACCGTTTTTGAATAGGGCTGTCGTCGCAGTATCGGAAAACCAACCATTCGGTCTCTCTCCAAAAGGAACACGCTAACTGTTTTGTCGAAAGATCCTGACGCAAGAAGACGACCATCACAGCTCCACCCAACGGAATGTACTTTGGCGGTATGGTTTCCATTCAATTCTTTTGTCCGGTTGTGGTGCTGAAAATATTTTTGAATTTCGTCGAAGTACGAAGCCATTTTTTTTCCCCTTAGTATTTTTAGCAAAGATCCTATATATAGCGCCGCTTGCGGCGCTTTGATTTTTAGTAAGTTAGAGCATGGCCTGGGTGACCGTAAGGTCATGACTAAATTCTGCTAAATGCACTTCAAAAATCTTCCAGATGGATCAAAAATTGTCACATGGATCAAAAATCTGCCAAATTTACTCGAAATACACTATAAACACTTTAAATCACAAGCAGATGTTGTAATATTGCCTTAATGAATATTCAAATTACATTAGAAACAATCTATAGCCACATCAAGATAATAGGAAATTACGTAAATTTCAGGCAAAACGTGGTTGTGTCGATCACGACGAAATCTAGCCCGACCGCGTCTGGCCGTACAGTACTATCGCAAGCTCTGTAGTACCATGGAGGAAGGAATTAATTCCTTCCTCCATGGTAGTGCAGAGCTTGCGATAGTAGTACGGCCAGACGCAGTCGGGCTAGACGAAATCCAGTTCCTGATGAACCTCAGCACCTAGATCAGGCAACCTGTCCTATTTTGCAAGGTTTTGTTTGAAAAGATTGAATGTTTTGTAAACAAATGTACCATTTTTGGGGGCAAATTTGCTGTTTTTCTGTCAAAATAACCTTCTTGCAGAATTTTGCCAGAAATTAGCTAGATTGGGTCCAACTGATTTCTGTCGAACTCATTTTTTAACAAAAATCTGTCAAAGTTAGCCGAAAATCGGCTAGAACGGTCACTAGGAGCATGGCTCGCGCGCAGGTTGGTACAACCTCGTCCCCAGTGCTTACTTTATTTCCAACCTCGTTTCCAATAGTAAACCCTGGATAGGAAACTTTCTTCCTGTATCCTGATTCGATACCTCAATTGGCTAGAAATGGATTTATCGTGTACTTGGTGTTGTTATTCAAAACGTGCAGGTAATGTTAGCCTTGGTCAAGGCGCAAGTTGTTATTCATCCGGCCGTAACGCGGTAAACGATATCTTCGCTAGCGCTATGCATGCAGTCACTGTCATGTCTATGCATGCTGTGCATTAAAAATACAGCGCGAACAGCGACCTCACGCGGCCACTATTTTTATGCAAATCAGTTGGACCCAATCCAACCTCGTCCCCAGTGCTTACTTTATTTCCAACGTTGTTTCCAATAGTAAACCCTGGATAGGAAACATCCCTCCTGCATCCTGATTCGATACCGCAATTGGCAAGAAATGGATTTATATCGTGTACTTGGTGTTATTATTCACAACGTGCAGTACGTGTTTTCGCGATCATTCGTCTACGCCTTTTCAAAAATATTCATTTCCTTTCCAGTTTGTTAATATTAATATGAAATGTGATACTGCATGTTGTCTCGTTAAGATCGTAACAGTTTAATTAAAATTAAATCATGTTTTCGTAACTCACGCCATGCTCGCTGCAACGAATTGACTCTGTTTTTACCCCAGACACCGCATACAAAAACAAACGCAAGTGTAACGCACAGGCAGGCACCAGACTACTCCTAATTTGCATACGTGTTCAAAAATCTTGCACATGCAAATGATCCAATACCAGGGTGAGAGAGCAGGTAGTGATGGGCGCGTACTGTTCGACACCCTGGGTACGAGGTTGGACCCAATCTAGCTAGATTGGGTCCAACTGATTTGCATAGAAATGGTGGCCGTGTGAGGTCGCTGTTCGCGCTGTACTTAGCACCGCATGCATAACGCTAGCGAGGATATCGTTTACCGCGCTACGGCCGGGATTAATAACAACTAGCTTTAGTATACATGTAGGTAGGTAAGGGGGGGGGGGGGAAGAACTTAGAAAGGACACTTTCTAAGGACACTATCCTTGTTGGGTATGTGAGCTGTGAAACACGATGACGTCATTAAATGGGGGGGGGGCTATTTGGGAAGGGCGCCGCTTACGGCAGGTAGGTAAACGTGGAAGAAAAAAAACCTTTAAAAAGACGAGTACATCAAGAAATGAATTAAGAAAATAAAAGAATAAATGAAAGACCGAATAAAATAAATCAGATGATAAATTTAGAATATTGAGGGGATGGGATGAGGTAATCCAACCAGTTCAACTACTTCTCTAAAATTGTTCATATGGAAACAAGATTCAAATGTGATTGGTTTTAAGTACTCGGCCGTTTCACTCAGATTTTTAAGCATCCGTTTTTAGTTGAAAGTATGTTTTAAAATGTAAAAAAAAACCCACTTTTTTTCACCACAATGAAGAATCTATCTCCAAATAAAGTAGCTCTTATTTTTTAAATGAGCAGGTCGTATTGGGCTTAAGTAAAAGTTGAACGATTTGAGTTAGATAAACGGAGCATCTGATAAAAATGAACAAAGTCAAACTTTCCTGATCGGAAGACGTGACTACATGTGCACGTCAAACATCAAGCAGCTGATTTTGAGAAGAATTTTCTTTTTATTGACTAGCCAAAACTTTGGTTTGGCTGATAATACTTGGTCTAGAACAATGTTTAAATGTCACCTGAAAACAATAAATGAGAACCCATCCCTGAAAAAAATGTGTGGGATTCCTTTGACGTTTTTTTTTTTAAGTTGTAGTTTGTTCATGTGTAGTTAATTCAATTTTTCACCATAACTTCCCCATCGGATCCCACTTATAATACCCATCTCCTTGATGAAAATGATATGTTTCAATGATCATTCTCCTTCAATGTAAGACCATGAATAATGCTAAGTAAACTACTATTTGATCAATGTGTTGTTTCGCAAAAGCGTGTTACAAGAATATGTTCCCCGAGTTCCAAATCCTTACCCTATAGCCCTAAACCTATCCTGGAGGGGAAATCGGTACACTGGTCCGAAGCGGTGCGCAGATCAGGATCTCTCTGTGTGTAAACCTTTCACTTCTGCTGATCGGGGGCGATGTGCAGCGCGCATCGACCTACCAGGCGGTCTCGGTCTCCAGCACTCGGCTCCTCGCATGCCCTGGTTCTGAAGTCTCGTGCATCCCACTTGGGCAGATGCATGTCAATCAGGTACCACCCCAACAAAGTGAACAAGTCTGTAGACCCAATCCCGTGGAGAAAATCGGATAACGGACCACTTTTTGGCCAGTTACCTAATGTTTGTTTACTGTTATGACCTGATGCATCCAAGTTGCTTGGTTCTTGTCTGCTTGCCCGAAGAGGGTGTATGTGATGGTCAGGTCGTTCTGGCACAGAGGCCTCAGGAGCAGCATGCCGTTGGAGTTCGATTTCCCCCTTTTATTGGGGCAACAACCTCCAGCAAGTTTGAAGTCTGTAGACCCAAATCTCGTGGAGAAAATGCGATACACGCTCCAACTTTGTGCCGATTTCTCTCTGTGTGTATTATTTTTCACTTGACTGCCCCTCGGAGGGCCTTGGCCCGCGCATACCTGGAGGTCTATGTCTCAACTTGCTGGCATGTGCCCTGTACAAAGTCCCCAAACATTTTACATGGATGGAAAGCTTGTTATTGGGGCAACACCTCCAGCAAGTTTCAAGTCTGTAGACCCAAATCTCGTGGAGAAAATGCGATACACGCTCCAACTTTGGCCGAGTTTCTCTCTGTGTGTATTATTTTTCACTTGACTGCCCTCGGAGGGCCTTGGCCCGCGCATACCTGGAGGTTCTTGTCTCAACTTGCTCCATGTGCCTGTACAAAGTCCCCAACATTTTACATGGATGGAGCTTGTTATTGGGGCAACAACCTCCAGCAAGTTTCAAGTCTGTAGACCCAAATCTCGTGGAGAAAGGCGATACACGCTCCAACTTTGTGCCGAGTTTCTCTCTGTTGTATTATTTTTCACTTGACTGCCCCTCGGAGGCCTTGGCCCGCGCATACCTGGAGGTCTATGTCTCAACTTGCTGGCATGTGCCCTGTACAAAGTCCCCAAACATTATACATGGATGGAAAGCTTGTTATTTTGGCAACAACCTCCAGCAAGTTTCAAGTCTGTAGACCAAATCTCGTGGAGAAAATGCGATACACGCTCCAACTTTGTGCCGAGTTTCTCTCTGTGTGTATTATTTTTCACTTGACTGCCCCTCGGAGGGCCTTGGCCCGCGCATACCTGGAGGTCTATGTCTCAACTTGCTGACATGTGCCCTGTACAAAGTCCCCAAACATTTTACATGGATGGAAAGCTTGTTATTTTGGCAACAACCCTCCAGCAAGTTTCAAGTCTGTAGACCCAAATCTCGTGGAGAAAATGCGATACACGCTCCAACTTTGTGCCGAGTTTCTCTCTGTGTGTATTATTTTTCACTTGACTGCCCCTCGGAGGGCCTTGGCCCGCGCATACCTGGAGGTCTATGTCTCAACTTGTTGACATGTGCCCTGTACAAAGTCCCCAAACATTATACATGGATGGATAGCTTGTTATTTTGGCAACAACCTCCAGCAAGTTTGAAGTCTGTAGACCCAAATCTCGTGGAGAAAATGCGATACACGCTCCAACTTTGTGCCGAGTTTCTCTCTGTGTGTATTATTTTTCACTTGACTGCCCCTCGGAGGGCCTTGGCCCGCGCATACCTGGAGGTCTATGTCTCAACTTGTTGACATGTGCCCTGTACAAAGTCCCCAAACATTATACATGGATGGATAGCTTGTTATTTTGGCAACAACCTCCAGCAAGTTTGAAGTCTGTAGACCCAAATCTCGTGGAGAAAATGCGATACACGCTCCAACTTTGTGCCGAGTTTCTCTCTGTGTGTATTATTTTTCACTTGACTGCCCCTCGGAGGGCCTTGGCCCGCGCATACCTGGAGGTCTATGTCTCAACTTGTTGACATGTGCCCTGTACAAAGTCCCCAAACATTATACATGGATGGATAGCTTGTTATTTTGGCAACAACCTCCAGCAAGTTTGAAGTCTGTAGACCCAAATCTCGTGGAGAAAATGCGATACACGCTCCAACTTTGTGCCGAGTTTCTCTCTGTGTGTATTATTTTTCACTTGACTGCCCCTCGGAGGGCCTTGGCCCGCGCATACCTGGAGGTCTATGTCTCAACTTGTTGACATGTGCCCTGTACAAAGTCCCCAAA